TGCTGTGGGCCATTGACTATATTTATCCTTCTTATCCATCGATCCTGACTTCCGGCAACCTGTTAACTCCCCTAATAAGCCCCCTTCATCTTGAATATTGTCTGTGAGTTCTGTGTGGCCATTGCACAAATTATTGACCCACCCCAGCAGAAAAGTGAGTTCTGTGGCAGGAACAGTTGATGTCAGCATTAGGTAAAGAAAGATGGGGGGTGGGGGCGGTTTGTCTCACGGCAATAGGGAAGCCAGAGGATATCAGGTAAGGGCTCCACCCATTCTGTGAAGCACGTGCCGAAGCGTCATCGATTGCAGCTGATTTGAATGTTTCCCTGGAAACCCATGAACAACACGATCAGCCATGAAGCCAGGAGAACTCATGGCTGTAAGACACTACAGTACATAAAATCGACTCCAAGCACCAGAAGTTCCTCTCCACACCCACAATGCTTGCAGAATGAAATGAAAAAGCAAACTCTTTTCCCAATGGTCAGACATAAGTACTATGAAATGTCCAGGAGTGGACCTGTTCACAACCGGGGGCCATCTACCAGGAGCTAGCCGACCAGACGCAGCCCTGGGTGGACTGGGACACACCCTCACTCTCCTCTCTCTAGTGGGGGCTCCCCAGAAGGCAGGCTGCCCAGTCCGGTGCCATTAATGACCCCCACCATTGTGTAATCCCCCACCTCCCTCTCTTTCCAAACTCCATAACAGAAGCTCAGCGCCCCTTAAGCAATATCCTCTCACTGCCCGCTGCCAACAGTGACATTTAGTTTGGCAAAGACTTAGGTTTTTGGTTCCGCGTGGCACACTGCAGACGGGCGAGAGACAGCCAATGCATGCTCCTTGCTTTACAAGTGAGAAAACAGTCTTAGAATGATTTTGTGGCAGTGCAAGTCATTTCACAACTTACGAGGCAGAAGACTCCACTGTAAAGTCTACTTCTTGACTGAGTGGCTTTTTTATACCACTGTAGTCCGTTTTCCTAATTCTCGGCAACCCAGCCAGGACATGTGCACGTGTATCAGAATGAAACGGTGCGTGGAGATCGTCCTCTCTCTCTGCTATGTTCTGGGTATTCTAATTTGTAATCATAAAACCACCCACAGGTCACTTTTATCTACAATTATTTTGATGAAAAACCGAAGAAACGATATCCCCAGGATTTTCATGGCTGCCCATTGTGTTTCTCAGTGAGTGAGCAGGATAGTTCCAGGACTCATGCCTGCTCTTGTCGTTCAACCCCTAACCTGGTCTCTAAGTACTTCTAAGTTCTGTTACAATACTGGCCATGGAAGCAGAGGAACAAAAGACAGCTTTTCGTTGCAGTTAATATTTTAAATGAAATATACTGTATTTCCTAGGATTATGTCTCAGCGTTCTTACAAAACTGGTTACTTTCAACCACAGAAGTTTATTTTCTACAGTTCTGGAGGCAGGAAATTAAGAACCCATTTACTGAAGTGAAATCAAGGCATCAGCAGGACTATGCTTCCTTCAGGGACCATATGAAGTTCCCATTTCTAACAGCATCTAGTGGCATCTGCTGGTCCGTGGCCTCATCATCCCTGGTCATCTCTGTCCCATGGTCACACTGCCTTCTCCTCTCTCTGTGGGTACATGTGATTGCATGTAAGGCCTTCCTATATAATCCAGGATAATTTCCCGGTCTCAAATTCATTAGTCCACTCCTACCTCCATCAACACCTTCTCCAATAAAGATACTACTTATAGGCTACAGAGATTAGATGGCACCCTGGTGGAATAGTGGGTGACTCACTCGGCTGCTGGGCACAGGAGTTTGAACCTAGAGTTTGAAACCACTGGGTAGAAAGATGAAGCTTTCTGTTGTCGTGAACCGCAAAGGGTCATTTCCGCTCTGCCCTCTAGGCTTGCTGTGAGTTAGAACTGACTCGATGACAATGAGTTCGGTTTGGGAGTTTGGGGAGAGATTAAAACCTGGTATTTGGGGGGAAACCTTCTTCAGCCAACAACAGACATGCCCCTTGTTCCCTTTGGAGGCAAGCAGTGGCGTTTGCATAGTAGTCCATTTCTACCTTGTTGACCTTGAGTAAGTTGCTTTCAACCTTTTTGGTTTTCCTCTTCACCTGCAAATCCAAGTAATACTTGCCTGTTTTAGAGTTTTTGAAAGGGTTTTTTGTTTTTTTAAAGACAATATTGATCCCATTGTGACTTGTTGCGTTTGCTTCTTAACTTGGATTCCAAGCGTTGTTTGGACATGTCTTTGCCTCTAGAGGAGGACCCACCCTTGGTATAGGTGGACTGCCATGGTTTTCAGAATGCATGTCTTTCTTCCGAAGGGCAGTGTGGCATTGCTCTGTCCGGCACTGAACTTGCAGCTGGGGACAGATCAGTGGTCATGACCCATCCAGATGGTGGTGACTGAGGGCCACGAACCGAGTCAATTGGAAATGTGTGCCCAGCAGAGTCCCTGCAGCGGTGGTTTCTGGGTAACTGCTAAGTCAGGTCGATGTGTGAAGCGGGAGGAGGACTGTTGACCCAGAGAAGTTGTTCGAGGTGGGTTGTAATGAGAGTCGAGATCTTTGTGTTGTGTGCACACGCGCTCACTCTCGCTTCGTACAAGGATGACTGAGAAGTGACTCTTTTTGGTTAGTTTGGTTGTGTGACTGTAGCCAATGGAAATGACTTCGGAGCTGTGGCTGGCTGGGATTGAAGCTACTTGTGAACAGGAGTTATCGACTGGGTGGTTCATGTCGTCTCCGATTACGCTGGTCAGCTTTTATGAAAGTGAGGAAGTAGTGCATGCTCTGGGTGGGACCTCCCTGTCAGCACAGCATGGGCTGTTGCTTTGGGCTGAGTGGGCATTGATCCAACCTTGGCCTTGGTTAATGAGTTCTTTGGCTTACACCGCCCCAGAGTCACAGCCTGTTCTGAGATGACCTTGCTGACTCAGGAGTACATTTGTGCCCCAGAGCTTCCTTTACAGGCCCTGTGGGGCTCCCGGCACGGGGACGGACAGGGCTGGAGCTGGTCCTCAAGAGCCCTCTGCAGCTTCTCTCTGGTGACCTCCTCTGCCCCCGCCTGGATGGCTTTGGAGGCAGAAGGCGAGGAGCGCTGAGAAGAAATCCACTGAGACGAGGGTGGAAGTAGAGGAATTGCCCACCCCTGGGGTGTCTGGGCAGGGGCCGTGGCCCCTGCGGCTGGGCAGTAGAACAGGTGGCATGGTGAGGTGGCCCAAGCTCACCTTTGGGGTGTTTGATTACGATTTGTGTTTGTTCTTGTTTGCTACTGTTGTCCGTTGCTGTGGTGTCTGCAGGATGACCCCATGCACGGGAGAACAGCGTGGCACCCATCCTGCCCGTCTTCACAAGTGCTGGGCCCTCCAGGTCCACGATGGCAGCCCCTGGGGAGTTTGAATGCCTTCAACCACAAGGGCATCATGGTTCCGTGTTGGGTTGCTAACCTCAAGGTCCGCCGTTCGAAGCTCCGAACTCCATGGGAGAAGGACGGGGCTTTCCACGCCTGTAAAGAGCGGCAGTCCCGGTAGCCCTCAGGGGCAGTTCCACCACGTCCTGTGGGGTCGCCGGGTGGCACCGTGGAAGCGGTGCCAGTGAGTTTGGCTGTTTGGTTTTTCCAGCCCCAGGGACTCTCCTCCCAGCGCTCTGTTAGATGGGGTTCCGCGGTGATTCTTGGGGTGCTCACTGGCTGTTTTTGCTGCAGTACATGGGTACACCTTTTCCCGTCTGTCTCATTCTGGAGGCTCTGAGAAAACCCGCCCCACACGGGTGACCCTGCTGGTTTCTGAAATCCTGGTGGGAGAACTTCCAGTATCACAGCAACACATGCCCCGTCCCCGGCCGGCCAGCTGATGGACGAGTGCATGCTCCTGGCCCTGCTGGAGTCACTGCACCCCATCTTATCCTGATCCTGCTTTCTAGGGCTCTGTTATCAGGTGCCTGTGCTACTCAGTGGCCAGACTTCGAAAGAGATTCTTAGTGATAGAAAAGATGAAATCCGTTTACTCAGAAAGGGGTAGAATGAACATTTGAGAGTGGGGGGTCCTGGATGAGAAAGTGGCACCCACCGTTGTGCCATCTGGATTCTCTGAGGCCTTTGCACTGTAGGGAGCAGGAGGTGTGATGGCCAGAGCAATTAGAGAGCAGTCTTCCGGAGTAGAGAAGCAGACTGCACTGCAGGCTGCCTGGCGCAGAGAGGGGCGGGTCCTATCAGACCCATGAGGACTGGGTGCGGATGGCTTCATTCATTCACTCAGCACCAATGGAGACGGAGACTCTTTCTGTGCCGGCTGAGGTGTACAGCAAAGGGAGAAATGGCATGCCTGTCCATTTAGAACCTGCCTGGTCACATGGAGCTAGATCAGCAAGCAATGATGACAAGGAAACAGAACAACAAAAAGCAAGCACCAGACTCACTGCCTTGGGGCCGATGCCAACCTAGAATGACTTTCTAGGACGGGGAACCGCCCTTGTGAGTTTCCAAGACTGTAACTCGTCTTTCTCCCGAGGGGCAGCAGCTGGTGGCTCTGAACTGCTGGCCTCCCAGTTAGCACCCAACATGTCAGCCCTATGCCCCCGGGTTCCCTGAGGGCACGTGTTTCGGTGTGGGGGTATGAAGAGCATGCAGTAACAGAAGGTGGTGCTAGGCTTACCGCCTCTGGTGGAATCCACCGTCTTAGCCGAAAGGAGGCTCTTGGAAGGAGTGACAGTGTTCTGTTTTACAATAGCACGGATTGTTGTTCTTGTATATAAAGCTCTTTCTCAGACACAAGCATGAGTCTCCCTGGATTTGTTTCTCAAGTCCACCCGGACTCACACAGTGGTATCGCATACCCCGAGATGGCGTTTGAATCGTGTATTACAATGATAATAGTTTGACTTCCCTTCAGAAATAAAGTCCTAATGGTTTTAAAAAATTTAAATAGCATGGATTTTGATGATTGGAAGCTCTAGACCAGTAACTCTCCCTTTCTCTCTCTCTCTCTCTCTCTCTCTCTCTCTCAGTGTCAAATCAACAGTGCCTTGACTTCTTTCCACACCGCTTTGGAACTGGCAGTGGACCAGAGGGAAATCCAGCACGTGTGTCTGTATGAAATCGGTACGTAGGAACGGCCCCGTGCAGCCTCTCATTCTCAAAACAGTCCTGGTGCTTGCCCGCACGATGTTTTCCATTCGCGTCTCCGCAACGTGCTTGCAGCCTTACTCTTGGCTGTGTCAGCGACACGCAGCCATCAAGGTACTTGCCACTCTGACGCTCACTCAGAGACCTTGCTCTTCATGATGGTGTGATTTGAGGATAACCGGCCAGGTGACAAGAGTTGGCCAACACACATTCCTGAGCGTTTCAAGGGGCAGCACATTGGACTTCCCTCCTGCTTGTTTCTCGGAGTCTTCCTGAATACACAACGGGG